GGGGGGGGGGGGTTATCGCTGCTCTCCATTGCTGCCTTGCATGGATGAGAGCAGGGAGTTCTTGCCCAGAACAGAACCATACCGCCAATCCAAACTGTATGGTAATTGTCAATCATCTTTGACGATAGTGGTCCTGACAGAAAAAAGTAGGACTCACAGTAGGACACTTTGTGGCCTAGAAAAAATAGACAAAAGATTATGAATACAAGCTTGATGTGATTGTAACTGATGTGTACTGATGAATTAAGATCATTAACATGAACAAAGAAAAGTTTTGTGAAAGCATTAATTTTGATATCATGTCGAACTTAATCACAGGTTTTCAACTCTAAGAAAAAAGGTACAAAGCTGTCACTGGGACAGGACCCTAAGGCATAAAATCTAAAAGGCACATCTTTGGTCCTTATTTACCTCTAAATGGTACATATTAGTACCTTAAAGGTACTTAAAGGAACATATTAGTACCTAAAGTGTACCTTTTGAAAGGGTGTCAATTAAAAGACAAATTAGTACATGATTAATATAAAGCTGGGGTGTATTTCTATATCCAGCGAAGTTCACAGTGACTAAAGGACAGCTAAGCAGGTTTGGTTGCCATGATGTCCCTCTCCATGGTAACAGCCAGCAGATCTCTCTCCCCCATCACTTAAAAGACAGTAATTACTTCCACATGGAGTCTCCAGCTCTGTGCACATCTGTCACGCACAGAAGTGCCCCAAAGAACAAGGGGCACAATCAAGTGGCTCACATTAACGCTCAGTATTTAAAGCTTGAACCCCCAACGTAACAAAACTACGATGTTCGTTATAGGTTGCCAAATTGATATTCAAGCGCATTCACTCCTCACCCGCTGATCCATAATGCAACAGCACGAGGGCCTTGAAATGGAAATGAAACTCATTGTGCTTTTGGGGTGGCGTGGCATCGCCTTGTCGTCCTATTAGGGAACGTGAATAGACACAATGTGTCCTCACTAAAGCCATCATCTTTATGATTAGCTTTACAATGGTTAAAAAACCTACATGCTGTTTAAAGCTGATGCTGCTCTCGTGGGTTAAACCACACAGATCATCATCACAGCTGTGGGTGTTGCATGACGTGGGTTGTTTTGCACCAGAATTAGTGCTATGTCCTCTTTTTCTTAAGCAATATGCATAATGTTCTGTTCAAAAGCAGAAGCGGCTTTGCACAATGTTCACGATGGAGATAATTATCATAAAACCATTAATTGTGTTCCTATAGAGCACCTGGTGTCAGCCCCATGTGTGCCAGCAACATGATCTAGGAGTCTAGGAAATGCTCGTGTACGTCTCGCACAAACTCCCAGCGTTAAGCTGATAATTGGTCATTATTTTAAACCGCAGGCTTCGATGCACCCTGCATTCCCTCCTACCGGTTACCTCCTGCCTAGTCGATGGCTCTTTCCTCTGTGATGTGTGCTGCTGCTTCCCAGTGAGCTGTGTTGTTTGTGGGTGGATGTGGGGCTTCTCTTCCTGTAGGCTTGGGTTGTGTGTAGTTCATCTCTGTCTGTGTGTTGTGTGTGTGTGTGTGTGTGTGTGCGCGCGTGTGTGGGGGGAGGCTGTCTCACCTGTTCATCTCTTGGACTTTCTCTGTCAGTTCACTGTGAGGAGACGGTCAGGGAAGGAGCCGGGGAGCTAAACTCTCAGGTCGTATAATATCTTTTGTTGTTGTTGTTGTTGGATATTGACTAATAACTGGACAGAAATGCAGAGTTAAGCTTTAGAACTTAGTGTTTAGGGAGGTTTTGTATGTGTTTGTACTGTATGTGGACATTTAGCAGTGAGTTTGGACCAGTTGTTGTTCTTATATTGAGTACTGTTATGAATATTTATCTTTTGACATGCATAAAGCTTTGTGTAATGTAAATCTGTTAAAATGTAGCAGACATAAACAAATGATATGTGTACTGTAGCTAGTACAAAATTTTAATTATATTGAGAAATACTATCATATTATAAACCAAACATGTATTTCTTATAAATACTACTGAAAATATATAGTAAAGTTATTATTGTTATCATTATTATATGTATATATCATTACACATATTGCAACATATATACTGTATATTGTGACATGCAATTAAAAAAATAATAATTTAAATTGTCAAAAAACTTTTTAAAAAAAACAACAACAATAATTGGAGCATTTAAAAGAAACATATTTTTCAAGTGTGTATATATATATATATATATATATAGGTAAATAATATAGGTCAGAATTATTTAAAATGGTCTAAACTGTGCTTTTTAATTAAATCTGTTGCAGAGTAAACAAACAGAACCCCTAATCTACATGTAATCAGTGACAAACAATCATGTGATATTATTATCCGTCTTTTTTATTGCCCGTCTTCAGTTTAGATGGAGCTAATCAAACTCAGACTCTGGGTTTAAGTGCATATTTTGGTGCTAAATGAACCCACTTCACTAATTACATACCATTGCTAGAGATGACCCTGACAGTAATTGGTCTTGGTTGAGTGTCACTTCCTTATTCTGCCTGGAGAGCAAGAACAGTTGTTTATCTACATAGAAGTGATTAGTGCGGATACAATATATTTTTATTGCAATTTGCAATTAACTTTTTTCAGGTAAATTGTTTCACTCTAAAAATGCTGGGTTGTTTCAACCCAACTTTGGGTCAAATATGGACGAACCCAACTTTTGGGTTAAAAATTTAATGTAAAAATTTAACCCAACGGTTGGGTTAGTCCATATTTGACCCAAAGTTGGGTTGAAACAACCCAGCATTTTTTAGAGCGTACTGTAATGTACTGTCACCTCTACTGTAGTACAATACCATGTTTACTGTAAATGTTGCTACAAAATACTTAGCACCAATAGTATCATTCCTTACCCTGAGAGTTGTGTCTAGGTTATATCCGTCTCTAAATGAGATAGACTATAATTAGTACAGGCAGTCACTACTGAAAGGTCAGAAAGCCCTTATAATCTGCCCTGGACATCCCCGTGGGATAATCAGGACGTTCATGAGCTGAGCAGAGCTTAATTTCCTTGAGTGCCTTTCCCGTCATTATGACATGATGTCATCACCCGTGGACTCACAATGCACCTTTGTAGTCAACTGGCTTTGCTAGTATTAACGCGATTTGGAAGGCAAATTGTCCTGGCGTAAACCCCAGGAAAATCTGTGCTAGGACAGGTGGAGTTAGCTTTCCACATTCATAATAATGTTAATAACCAGTATAAACTCATTTATAAACTAAACTCTAGACGACCCTTCTAAAAGGAGAAATATACTGTACGTTATGTTGTGATGTTGTGGAGTCCCATCAGGGTTTTTAACCAAAAGGACATACTTGGTAGACCAGATCTGCTAATCATGCTATCTCAGTTTTTAACTGTTGTGTTGTGAAGTCTGTTGTTGATGAGGTTATTTTGTGTTTTCATAATATAATTGCCTATAATTTGACCATTTCGGGAAGCACTGGAATGTGTTGGGTCAAGCTAGATTATCTCCATTTTAAGGATTAGGTTCAAATCTTGGTCAATGGAGGTCAGTGTAACAAGCTTTCAGCAGTTTTAGAACTTTTTGCTAAAATGGTTAATCTATGCTGACCAGCTACATTTTCAATCAACAGCCTCAGGGGGGAACTTTAGAAAAAGAACTGTATTCTTCCAGCCACCATGGACACTTTTTTCCGACGGCATTTTAAGAGGAAGGAAGCAGGAGAAGCCATTCATGATGGCCACGTACCTGAACCCTGTCGACACAGGAGGCCAAGCATTGCAGTGCCAGCCAGCCGTGCCCGTCGACGCTCCAGCGTAGGTCTTCCGTCCACTGCGTTGACCCAGCGACGCAGATCCAGTGTCCAACTTCAGGCTTTACCTCGAATCACTAGCAGTCAACCGGTTCAGAAAAGCAGTGGTAGACGGCGTTCCAGCACCACCACCCCGAAGGCCAATCCTCGCTTTGCCATACGCCGGAAGAAGGTGGGCAAGCTCCGCAATATAGACACACACCTCTTGGGCCCGTCCATGCTGCTGGCCAGCTTAATTCAGATGACGGAAGAGGAGGAAGAGGATGAGGAGAGCCAAAGTCCATTGCCAGGGCAAGTGGAACTCAAGGGAAGCAACACGAAGTTCAGGAGTCACACAGATGTGCTTCTTTCAGAAGGCGACAGTGACAGCGAGGACTCCAGCGGCCACTTAGAGAAGAGTCATCACTCAGGGCTGCACAAGGAGTTCCTAGAGGAAGCAGATTTGTCAGACTGGGAGATCAAAGAGTCTGCTGTTTCATGCAAGCAGGAATGCCTTCCTTTGGCTGTGGTGGCAGAGTGTGTCCAGGCCCACCCGCTGATCCGAGTTCCCCGCTGCCTCCGGAGGAACTCGTCACATTATGGCTACGCGGAGCCCGGCCCGCACGTCCGCTACTGCCGCAGCAGCCAGAGGAGGCGCCGTCGACGGGTCTCCACAATCTCGAAAGCAGGAAGCCCCTGGCCAGGAAGAGTCCTGCTGAAGCAGGAAGCCCCTGGCCAGGAAGAGGCCGGCCGCTTCCTAACCGAAGAAGCTCTACCTGCTACAGGGGTCATGCGACTCTCAATCCTCTCCTGGGAGCTTATTACGATCCCAGGCTGGAGTCTTGGAGTGGATTCTTGTCGTATGTAGAACCTTTCTGTTGTTGTTGTGTCTAGTTATTTCATGCTGTGCTCTTAAATTAGATGTAGGGTTTCATGAAATGCAAGAACAACAACACAAAGGCTGCGTCAGAAAGCTTAGACAGTTGACTTGTTGCTTTGCTGCCCTATCAGTCAATGACTTGCAGGCAACATTTGCGTTCGAAGGTCACTCCCAAAACTGATAGTGGACTGACTTCTGAGGCAGCATAAAGGTTTAATGATCTACAACAAAACAGAAAAAGCTTTGGTGAAGAGTGTGTGATAGAATCGCACACACAGGATAGGGGCAGCAAACGATATATCTATGCAACCCTCAAAAATCGATCAGATGACAGTACCTCAATTATATTACTCAGATTTGCATTCTTGCCTTCCTACCTCAGCACAGGTACAAAGCTGGGGCCGTACCCTAAGGTGCAAAAGCTAAAAGGTACATTATACCATATTCACATATTAGTACCTTTAAAAAACGTATTAGTACCTAAAGTGTACATATTAGTACCTTTTGAAAGCTTACTTCCCCAGTGACAGTTTTGTACCTTTTTTTTCTGAGAGTGTATGCTACCTGCGTAGGTAGCATTTTCTGCTTTCAGATGCAGCCAAAGAAACTAATTATGACCAAGGCCAAGGTTCCTTAAATCTGGCCCTTGAGGGCCAGTGCCCTATAGGGTTTAGCTCCAACCCTAATCAAAGACATCTGAGTAAGCTAATCAAGGTCTTCAGTGTTACTAGAAAAATTACAGGTAGATGATCAGGGCTTAAGATATCAGATTTGAGGAACCTTGACCAAGGCTTTGCTGAGGTGCACAATGAGAAGACGGTTAATATTTGTCAAAGTCGGTTTCTTTAGGCTTGTAGCATTAAAGGTGCATTCACAATGACAACTATATTACTGGAGGTCACCAAGTTGCTTGATAGTTGCTGTATCACGTCATTGCACAACTGCATGAAGCTGACCTCTGCTTAAATGTATTTTCGCACTCTTGATGTAGATGAATGTTGTCCAACCATTTTGCCGCTGCAAATTGCTGTCAGTATGAACGTCCCTAAATAGTTTATATTTTAGTGAAGACCAAATAAATACACCACAATGTACAGGTTTTCTGATTAGGTACTATGACTTGCAATACATGTCAAGTCAAGTCAAGTCAAGTCAAGTTTAGAAATATGATTTTGAAAAGACAAGTTGCTATCTAATATAACACCCAGATTTTTGACTGTAGAGGAAGTAACCGTACACCCGTCTAGTTGCAAATTGTAATCCACGAGATTCTGTGTACTGTCTTTTGGTCCAATAAGTAATATCTCTGTCTTATCCGAATTTAATAGGAGAAAATTATTGGTCATCCAATCTTTTACATAAACATGTGTATCTCCACTTACAAACTCAGCACTTTCAAGTCAACATCTTAAGTAATTTCTCAAGCATTCAAACATTTATATTGAATGCGAGAGCAGGCAGTTGCAATGCAGCTTTTCATTGCATTGACCTTCTCATTCTCCATCCCATGGATACGAGCACCATGGCGATCACTCATTAGTGCAGCTGCTACCATAGCGAGGTAATGTGACTCATCAGCGTTACTGATCACCCAGTGGGCTTCTCATCAACAGGTTGCTAAGCTTCACTGATTCACTCTGTAGGGATTAGGACACAAAGGTAAGGGTGAGCAAGGTTTTGATTACAAAAGGATTACAAAAAACCTTGGAAATGCCCCACCCAAAGCTAAAGGTAATATTTGCCTTTAGAAATGTATTTCCTGTGTTTACATTGCATAAACTTCATTGACAACTTTCTTGTCATAGCCATAATTGCATCAGAGTTCCTGTATAAGGAGAGGCTATCTGTTTCTGCACATGTCTATTGTGTTAACATTTAGCATGAACGTTGATGTACAGATGGCACACTCGATTCTATATAGATGTGTATAAAATAAAGTTACATTAAAGACCAGCCAATTTTCATTTTGTTGTTTAGTATAAAATTCAGTGCTGTATCGTCGAAATTTGGTGAGCTAAATGACATAGGCTAAACATCAGGTATCCACAGTGTATTGTGGTAGTACTGAAAGCAGATTAAAAGCAGAAAAACCTATATATTTCCAAGCCGTGCTATATAATTCTATTGTTGGTGGCTAGTAAAAATAGTCTTATTATGATTGATATGGAATTAAACAAATGCAATTCAAAGAGACCCCCAAGGCACTCCAGGTGGAAAGCTGGTGTGAAATAAGATGCCATCCTTTCAGGGAAAAATGTTCATAATTGTATTTCTTTTGATCAGTGTTCTAAATCTAATTGACTTAGGATATGATGGACACAGACAGTCTGTTTAATGTCACTGTCATTGTTTTTGTCAGGAAAGCCATTGCCAAGGCTGGTGTGCAGGATAACGCTGCCCAATCCGGTGCCATAATACCGGCCAAATGTGAACCCAACAAAGAGATCTGCAGCACCGTGGATTGGACTGTGAGTTACTCATTTGTATTCCAACAAACAAGTTAGCATTCCAACTGTTTCATTTATCTCAATGGCAGTAAACTCCAACTCATGACACAGTAATCCATATTAATCTCTGTAACTTCTGTTTAATTTACTGGTTAGTTGTCTTCCTCAGGAAAATGCCCAGTTTGGTCAACACGTGTGGTTTGAGACCAGTCCGTCTGGAGATTTCTGTTACGTTGGAGAGACATATTGTTTTGCAAAGTCACTGGTAAATGACCCATATTTTTATTCTTAAAACGATCAACAGCACAATGAGTAGTTTATAGTAGTGTCTTTCCTTTTGTAAAAATCCTTGCTCGCAAGCTCCCTCTACTGGTTAGACGTTATACGCACAGATTCAGATGTATTGCTAAAATGGCAATTGTTGTGTTTCATTTTGTTTTCTCAGCAAAAATCTCTTCCTCGCCACAAATGTGCATCCTGCAAAATAGCTGTTCACACTGTATGCATGGATCAGCTGGAGAAGGTTAGACGATTGTTGTAAAGCTGAAAAACGTACAATGTTTTGAACTTTTTATCTCATCAAATGAACTGTTCCCCATAGATTAACTTCAGATGTAAGGCATCATTTAAAGATCCAGGGATGAGAAATGTCCGAGAGGTAAGACTTTTTGTCCCCTAAAATGAGCTTTATCATTTAGTTTTGTTAAACAACTGAGCTGGTTTGTGTTTCAGACTCCAAACATGAGACATCACTGGGTCCATAGGAGACGTCAAGATGGAAAATGCCGGCAATGTGGAAAGGTCAGTGCAAGACTCATAAAATATGAAACGTGTAATCATCCAGAAAGTATTTATGGCCTAATTTCACTCTTTCCTCAGGGTTTCCAGCAGAAATTCTCCTTCCACAGTAAAGATATCGTGGCCATCAGCTGCTCTTGGTGTAAGCAAGCAGTAAGTATTGCACATCTGATAAAATCAGTTTTTTTTTTTTAATGGTTGCAATGTACACTACCGTTCAAAAGTTTGGGGTCAGAAAGATTTATTTTTTATTTTTTTAAAGACATTAATGCTTTTATTCAGCAAGAGTGCATTCAATTGATCAAAAGACACAGTAAAGGCTTTTTCTTTGTTACAAATCATTCTATTTCAAAAACCTTCATCATTTTTTTTTTTTACATAAAAATCAAGCAATCCAACTGTTTTCAGCATATTAGAATGATTTCTGATCATGACTCTGAAGATAATGGCTGCTGAAACTTTAGTTTTGCTATTTCAGGAATAAATTACATTTTAAAATATATTAAAATAGAAAAAAAAAGCTATTTTAAATTATAATAGTATTTCACAACCTTAATGTTTTTAGTGTATTCTTCTTTCAAAAATACCCAAAACGTTTGAGTGGAAGTAGTGCATAAAAAGTTGACAAATTTTCAAGTATGATAAAATATCAATCAATGCACTTTGCTATGTGTCTTACAGTATCACAACAAGGTGACCTGCTTCATGCTGCAGAAAATCGAAGAGACGTGTTCCCTCGGAGCTCACGCGGCTGTGATCATCCCTCCAACCTGGATCATCAGAGTCCGCAGACAGCAGGTACCATCTGACCTGAAGAAAACGGGGTTTATACAAAATATTACGGTTATATTTACTGTATTTTCAAACAAATAGACATTCAAAAATCTTACCAACTTAAAACCTTTGAAAGTATATCTTATAGATATATACAGAGTTCTGGCATGAAACTCTAGATGGCGCAGTCCGATAGGTCTAACGCAATCTGACCTAATGACATCATTGTCACTTGGCTCACCTGATTGGTTCTCTCCTGTATCGGTAGCCAATGAGCTGTCATGTACATTACCATGCCGATCCCTCCGAGAGTTGTCATGACAGAAATATGAATATCTTCCAAATGCATTTCTAAAGTACTAATAGTGATGTAATTTTATGATGTAGTGTTTTATGGTTTGGACATGATGAAAGGAGGTCACCTGCATTGATGAGCTCAAATGTAAACACTAAAATTAGTATGTCTATAAAGATGCCTATAAACTGTCCCTATTATACAGGCATCATTGAAGAGCAGTAAAAGAAAGAAGAAAACATCTCTGAAGGCCAAACCCTGCAAGAAAGCCACAGAGGTAGCAAACACCTCTGAACCTTTGAACTTTTGTGAATGAAAGTGATAGGCTTTTATATATGACAAGATTTCAATATTTCATTCTCTGCAGGATGGCAAATGGAAGCACTTTGTTGTGCGCCCAATTCCTTCTCAGCTCATGAAGCCTCTGCTGGTGTTTGTCAATCCGAAGAGTGGCGGAAACCAGGTCAGAAGCGACACTCAAAAGTTCCTAGAGCATAGAAATGTTATTTAACAGCCACATAATAGCACTTCTTCTTTTCTTTAAAGGGAACGAAAATCATCCGCTCTTTCATGTGGTACCTGAACCCCCGGCAAGTGTTCGACCTCACTCAGGGAGGTCCGAGAGAGGGGTAAGAGTTGATAGGTCATACTTTCTTTCTTTCTTCGCTTTGAGCGTGTTCTCTTACACTTTCTCTTCCTCTTTTTAAGGTTAGAAATGTACAGCAAAGTGCCCAACCTGCGTATCCTCGTTTGCGGCGGTGACGGAACGGTTAGTCAAATATCTGCGCTCTTATCTAGATAAAACCGGATGGTAGGTAATATCATTTCTGCTCATACTGTTTCAGTATGTGCACAGTATGCAAATTTTCCAATGGTGCAATATGCTCGACAGGTACTTGAAACTGATTCAAGTCAAGGTCAAATTTAAATGTATTAGGGATAACACCACTACTAAAATAACACTGACTGATCCGAGCCAATCTCTCAGATATTGAATGTAAATGAATTTCATCATGCTGACCCTCAGTCAGGAAGTTCATAGGGACCATCATGTAATCTATATGCTCTGCTTGAACAGGTTGGGTGGATTCTCTCAGTGCTAGATGAGCTCCAGTTGAACCCTCAACCCGCCGTGGCCGTGCTTCCCCTCGGGACAGGAAATGACCTGGCCAGGACTCTCAACTGGGGCGGGGTACGAACCTGAATACTCTTGTTTGTAATGTTCTAATAAGCCTCAGTTAGTACATTATAAGATGAAGTTTCAGCTTCAGCTCCTGTATTTTAATATAATAACCACAAGTTTTGTTTTGCAGCATGAGGTTTGTGGTTTAAACATGTCATTTTTACTGCTGACACATTCTTAACCTGGCATAACAAGAGAAAATGGTCCCACTATTTGTTAACCATTACAAGCTTTTCATTGTTTTTTTTGAAGATGCGTGTACTTGTTGACTTTCAGGGCTACACAGATGAACCGGTGTCCAAGATCTTGTCCCATGTAGAAGATGGCAACATCGTCCAGCTGGACCGATGGAACCTGAGCGTGGAGCCCAATTTAGAGGCCAGCGAGGAGGAGAGAGACGAACACCAGACCGACAAGGTCAGCTGACACCAGTAGAGGGTGCTAGACTTTAGCAGAAGACCACCATCCTTCTAGCTTTACAACAAGTCAAGCATGAATGAGGGTGTAAAGAGTTTTTATAAACTCTTTTGTGTTGACATGAATGGTTAGGGGGAGCTAATGACTTCTCCATGTCTATTTCAGCTTCCCATTGACGTCTTCAACAATTACTTCAGCCTTGGATTTGATGCACACGTGACCTTGGAGTTTCACGAATCCCGAGGTGTGCTCACTCACTCGTGTAATTTGAATTTGGTTTATGAAGTGAAGGTTTGCACACTACTGCATATCAAATCTGCGGTTTGTGAAAGGATTCAAATCTCTAAGATGTTGTTTTGTTTCCTCAGAGGCTAAACCAGAGCGGTTCAATAGTCGACTTCGCAATAAGATGTTTTATGCAGGGGTGAGTGTGTCTGTCCGATAAAGTCATGTAGATATTTTAGTTTATTCTTTTTGTAATGTATAAAATGTAACATATTTGTTCAAATACATGTGCCCCTCTGCAGACAGCCTTCTCAGACTTTTTGATGGGCAGCTCCAAAGATCTGTCCAAACACATCAGGGTTGTGGTACGTTAAGTTGTATATATGTATATACACACTTTTTATATAATATGACCCAAAATATTTGAAACTGGAAATATAATTAAAATATTTTTATTTTATTTTATATATAAAAGTTAATTAAAAAGAATACTTACAAATTATGCATGTGTACTGTATATATACATTAATAAATAATAATAATAATTAAACATGAAATAAAATAATGCATATGTAATTTATCAGAAACACAAAAAAACTTTAGGGTTTTACATTTCAGAAAAGCATAATTAATATATATATATATATATATATATATATATACACACACTGAGGGACAGAACT